GGGCGTGTGGCGGGGTCAAGAGGCCAGAAGCAGCGCTTTGCTACCCTTGTGGTCGTTCTTGCTTCTCTTCAAATCATTCCGGCCTTCCTGCCACTCCCAGCCAGGGACGCTCAGTGTGGACGGCTGATGCGCCCGCACAGGCTCTGAAGTGAGGGTGGGGCATTTCTTACCTCCTGCCCTCTGGCAGGAGTGATGTTTGTGCATCATTTGAACTATGTCATGTGGAATCAGTCCTGTAACCTGAATCTTTGGAGACCTTATTCCTTCTAAGTCATGTGCTTGGTCCCCATGAATGTCTTCTCCTTATCGGTCCTTGGGATGGGGATAGAAATACCCCCGAGAAATAATGCTTGTGTTTATGTGGTAGGGAATGCACCCATTTGGGAGTTGGACAGGGGAAGTGTGTACACATTCCCTTCTTCGGTTCCAACTTCTGCAGACTGTTTCCCCTTTGAAGTCCATGTCTGTAAGTGGTACGGCTGAGCTGGGATGTGTACAGGTGCCCCAGCCTCTGATCATACCTTCAATGCCTCCTGAATGAGCCTTGTCCTGTAAAAGAGACCTACATTTCTGTGGTTAGGAGATGGGATTAACAGTATGATTTTGCTAGGACACAGTCTGAGGGGTTACCTGTCTTCCTTCTACAGCCTCTGGTATCCTGATGTGTTAAAGTTGTGCTGGTCATGGAGGAAATTGGGACTTGAGCGTACATATTCCCCCAGGGTTTCTCTACAGTGCCCATAAGGGGACTGGGACCGTTTGCCTTTGGTCAGTTGCCAATTTTTGTGGCATCTCTGGGTATAATAATTTGCCTGTGTCCCCCTGTCTTGTCCAGCACAAGAGCAGCAGCTTCTTTCTCCAAATGCTAGCAACTGCTGCTCTTGTGAAGGTCCTCTGCATATTCACATCTACAGAACAGCATTAGAAACTGCAGGGTTTTTTCTTCACCTTACCAAACCCAGACAGGCATTCTCTGATGAAGGGAGATGACGTCTTTCATCTTGCCACGGCAAGTTCCCACAGCTGTCCTAGCAATCCTCTGTGACACCATGTCCTGGGTGAAGATGGTGGCTGCAGTCTTGGGACTCTCCCAACAATTCTGGTGGTACTCAGAATTGCTGGGACCTGTGGGAACTTGCCATGGCCCTGAAGAACAATGTTTTGAGGGGAGGTAATAATTGCTACCCCAGGGCTAGGCTGCACATAAAATACTGGTGAGCTGTAGAATGGAGAGGTGAATTGTAATGTGGTGGACCTCCAGGTTTAAAAGGTGATGATCAATAACGCAAAGTCCAACTGGCAGATGATTATTAGTGGAATCCTTTAGGGATCAATACTGTCTTTATTAACAACCTGGGACAGAGTTCACTCTCAGTTAGTTTGTGGATGATACCAAGTTGGAAAGAGCAATTGGGATAATGGAGGCAAGGCTACTATTGAGACCGACCTTGAAAGGCCAAGAAATGTATCAAAAGAAACACCACCAAGTTTAATGAAGTTTAGAGCGAAGTCCTGATCCTAGTATGGGATAACCTCACGGACCAGAAGAGTCTTGGGGCTGACTGGCTGGAAAGCAGCTTTGCAGAAAGAGTCCTGGAGTTCCTGTGGACAAGTGAACATAAGTCAGAAAAGAAAGTATATTCTGGACTGTCTTAAAAAAAACATGAGTAGCAGGTCAAGGAAGGTGGTTCTTTTGCTCTGTTCAGCACTTGCAAAACCCCTTCTGCAGCACTGGGTTTAGTTTGGGAGCAAGTCCAGGAGAGGTGGAGGCTGGAGCACAAGACGTGATGCTGAGACAACTGGGTTTGTTCTAACTGAAGAAGAGAAGGTTCAGGTGGCATCTTTCTGTGACATTCAGCTATCTTTTGGTGGGGTATATAAAAGGCAGAGATAGATTCTTCTTGGCGGTACACAGAGATAGGATGAGGACCAATGGACATTACATGAGAAATTTCAGATATTCAGATAGATATTCAGAAAAGATTTTTCACAGTGTAGTTAAACACTGGAACAGGGACCCTGAAAAATTCGTGAATATCTTGTAGATTTTCAGAACTGAACTGGACAAGGCCTTGAGGAGCTGCTCCAGTTCGGGACTGCTTTGAGTGGGAGTTGAACCCGAGAACTCCAGAGTTCTCTTCCAAACTGTATTACTCTATGAATAATGATCATCTAATAATTCTACAAATTATGATTTTCAAAATACCATACAGGACCCTGTAGTCAGGTACATTCATTTTCTACACTTCTAACACCATTGCAATTCCCACAGAGATTCTCTGCCCATTTTTCTGCAGTACCACTTCCTTTTGCTCCACTTAAGCATTTTGTTGGTCTTTGCCTTTGTTCTGCATTGTTCTTCTCTGTATAGAACCAATATTCATCCTGCACACTTGAGATTTAGTATCTAATATAATTTTAATTCCTCATGAATGAGCCAACCATTTTAGCAGCTGAAAAAAACCCCAAACTACACAACTGATTCTTTTGTTAACAAGGCCTTTGAGAAGAAACTAATGGCCATTACTTCTCCTAAAACCCTGGAATGAATGCTCAACGACTGTTTGTTGCATGAGATTTCTTTTTTGGATTGACAAGTGGAAGTTCTTATGCTTTTGCTAACCCAATGCTATCCAAAATCCATCTCTTCCACTCCATTTGACTTGAAATCATCTGAAGCTTTTTACTTGTGCTGATTCTTTAGCTTGTGTAGAAGTAAAAGACCTAACACCTCATAGTCAGAGGTTTACAGACTTCTCTAGGTAGGAGATTTCTTCAGCATGACTTGATAGCCTCACCGAGTCAGCATGACCTGACTGTTGAAGGAATGAATTGTTTGTAAAAGGGTGGACTGTCTAGACACTCATCTGAAGTAATCCACCCTCTGTTGTGATTTATCATGTCCTGCTTATCTTCTTGGTGAAGTCGTATAACCCGAAGGTGTATAAACTCTGTAAGTGCCCCATTTGCACAGAGTTCACGTTAGCAGAGTCTGTCACTGCTCCTCTCTGCTCTCCCCAATAGTTGTAGCAATAACCTGCTTCTGTCCTGACCTGATCTCAGTTGCATCCTGGTTATTGAGTGACACCAAGCAAAGTGGAAGTTGCAGATCTTGTAGAGACACTGTTCAGTGTAGTGCTAAACTCTGGGGGAAATTTGGATTGTAGAGGCAGCACGTGAAAGCAGCATGGTTTACAGTCAAATGTATAACGGCTGCCATCTCTCTGCTGTAAGGTAGGATCAGCGGCAGGGTCATTCTCATTTTTTTCTTAAGTGCATTTTTTCTTGGACTTATGCTAGCCTTACACCTCTCTGTCCTCCTGCTAATATCAGTGTGTTTCGTTTACTCCATTTTTGTCAGTGTAACATTTCTTGTCCTCCCTGCTGTGAGGGAACGTGCACAACTCATAAAGGTCTCCATTTGCAGGCAACAACAGACACTTGACTGTGGTGCTAGTCTGTCCTGTTTTAGAATTCTGCTATGGGGTGGTGGTGATCTCATCGTAGATGTAGTTGTGTGTATGTCACATGAGAATCACTGCCCTGCCTTGATCACAAGTTGAATAGCTGAGTGTAGTGAGACATGGTCAGCAGGACAATGTAAATAAGAATTGTGTGTGATGAGCCTTCACAGAGGCCCTCAGTCAACAAGTGACAGGATAACAGTACCTAAAACTGCTAGAAAGGTACACCATGATGTCTCTGGGGACTGACTGGATTGACAACTTGAGCTGGCATTTTTCTATAAAACATGGTTTTATAGTAAAAATAGATATAAGGGAGGGAACACTGGTATGCAATACACTGTAGACACAGAGGATGTGAGGTGGAAAGGACACATGTTGGTGCCAAGCCGTTACTAACCTCCAAAAGCAAGAGGTAAGAGCAGTTGTCACAACAGCATGGACCTCCCAGGGTTCATAGTTCCAGTATGCCTTAGGCTGATGGATGCTGGGCATCTGTGATATGACTGTTTGTCGCGAATGAGTAATTTAGGCCGCTTAAAGAATCACCACCTAAGATATCAAAAAGTGAATGATTTTAATATAAATTTGTAAAAAGCATGACAACAGAATTCGCTGGCAAGATCCACTCTATTACTTATTCAGCATGGAAAAGGTATACAGAGAGAAACCAAATTACAATTAAACTGGAATGATTTACTCATGGATCGAATAAGGTTGATGTTTATATTGAGGAGAGAAAGTAGGGGAGACCCTTCCCTTGAGTCACGAGGTTCAGAGTGGACTGAAATCTTCTCCCAGTCCCAGACTTGGTCAGCGGTTTATGACTAAAGGGATAGGGTATTGGGGATTCTGGTGTGGCTATATATTTTGTGCTTGGTGTAATTTTAGCATGGCAACAATCTAATGCAAAATAGCAGCAATTAAATTCACTAACAATATTGAGATAAACTACAGTATCAAATCATACAAAACTTAGCAGCATAATCAACCTAAAACTTACTAAGATTCCTTAATCACACACACATATAGGTGTAGAGATAGAGATGACATAAAGAGATGTAGAGAAAAGAGATAGAAATGTACGAAGGTACCTATTAAATATCCCCCTTGAATTTGATAAAATACTCACATCGAATGCTTTGCGTCACTCAATGGATGTACAGTCAAGCCCCTGAGTTGATCGCAAACTTGAGGGTTCACAGGCTCTGAGAGGCGTCCCACTCAGAGGGAGGTGCTGGTCACAGCCCACTGGGGTCCAGGAGAGCTCAAAGGGTCTCACTTGGGACCACTATTTATAGGACTTCAGGCATCGGTGAGTTTCCCACAACCCAGGTAGGTATTTCTCAGGTTTTAACAGTACCACTGCCAGGATTTTCTGGAGATAATTGATTAGTTCTGTTCTTGTTCTGTACCTTGTTTAGGCAATCACATTCCTGATACACTCAGTGCCATTCTCCTCCTTGGCTAAACAAGGGTGCTTGGTGCGGTTGAGGGGTTCTCAGCTGCCAAACCCTTTGTTCGGAGGCCAAGGTTTGTTAGGCCCAGGTACAAGGTGTGGGGAGGGGCGGGAATGCATCACCACGCTACTGCACTCAGTGAGCCACAACAGCAGCAGGTGTAACTGAAAGAAGTGACAAATACCTATAAAGTTTGAGTTATGTATTGAAACTTCACAGCTGGTGTCCGCATAGAAGAAACAGAAAACTAATTTATAGGTAGTACAATGTGAATAAAGCAAGCAGCTTTCATAAGGGTTGAGATTACTGGGACCTTATCACCATTGATTAGCTTGCACCATGCTAGTTTTTATCATAGCTTTTGTGTAGTGAGTGTATATACCTGTGAAAACTTAAGCTATTTTGCCTACTAATGATGTGTAATGCAAGTGAAGGTGTAATTGCATCTATATTGTGCATGTATTTGCCACATGATGGTAAGGCAAAAGAGCAGCATAGAGTGGGAGTAGCACAACCTTACCTTGATCAAGAGTTGAATAACAGAGTGTAATGAGCCATGACAGACAGAACACTGCAAACGAGCTGAGTGTTCCTGAGCCCTGGTACAGACCATGGATTAACAAATGGCAGAATAATATCTGAACCTGCTGGAAAGACGTATCACAATATCATCTTGGGTGGTTTCCACTCTTACAACAGAACTTCCTCATTACCAAACATCCTATGCTGTTGATTTATTACTAGCTCCAGGAATATCATCAAAGTAGAGAAAAACATGTTACGAATAAACAGATGGGCTATAGCTTCGAGTCCCTCTCTTTCCTCCTGTACTAAATGGTTAATGGTAATTTTGTTTATTTCTTTTTGGTGCATGATGAAGGATTTCAACCCAACCTGTGAATTGCTTCTCTCAGGAAGAGGGGAGGTATTAATAGTCAAAATAGAATTTTAATTCCTGCAGAACTGAGATTTGCAGTAAGCCTGTTTGTCCTTTCTTCCTCTCCACAGCTACAAAATGGGCTCATTGAGGCGAGTGAGCACTTGGAGACAGGTACTCTGAAAAAGAAAGAGTGACTGCGAGTTGATGCAGTAGAGCTGAGAGTAAGTGGAAAGTAAACAGAAAATTTTCCCATACTTTTTTCCCCTTCCCTCTCTTGCTTAGTGTAACATCCATCCATTCCTCTGTGCATTTTGCCTTCCCTCAGTGGTAACCAGCCATCCTTCTCTTTGTTGCATTGCTATCCTTCTGTCTGGCCTTTTCTCTGTAAAGTCTTTCCCTTTCTCTGTCTTTTTCTTTTGATCTTCTTTTAACTGCAGTAAATTTCTGTTTTGCAATACTAATGTATCCGTCAGCTGGTCTAATCTGCTACAGTGTCCACCTACAGTGTGATTGCATTCCTTTGCAGTACTGCTTTTGAATTCATTTCAGTTAGTAGGTCTGTGAGTACTTAGTCAAAGTACTCACTGTGTGCATTTGGGTTTTTTCTGTGTTTCATGGAGGGTGAATGTTGTCAGACTGTTCAGGGATTCATTTGTCCTAGGGTCTATAACAGTTTCTACATGTGCATCTCTCTCAACTATACTAAGAGGGAACCATATGAATCATTTTAAGTGGGGTGAGGACTCAGTGTTACAAATGGAGCTTGGGACTCTATTTACATGAGTAAGGTTTAATATGCGGTTACTGTAACTGCTCCAGTTTTTTACCAGTTCATTACTGGTATCGCCCTTTAATGTTAGCAAAGCCAAACTGACTTGTGCTCTGTTGTTTTCCACTAGTTCTCAAAATTTACCTTTTTTTTTCTGCTAGCAATGAGACCTCCATGAACCACACAACAGTAGTGGAATTTGTCCTCTTGGGGCTGACCAACAGCTGCCATTTGGAGATCATCTTCTTTCTGTTTCTTGTGATTGCCTACTTCTTGATCTTGCTTGGAGACATTACTGTCATCAGCATCACTCTTGTGAATCATTTCCTTCAGACCCCAATGTAGTACTTCCTCAGAAATGTTGTCCTTTTGGAAATCACTTTCACCTCCACATTGATTCCTAGGACCCTCTACAGCCTTCTGACAGAGAAGAAGATTATTTCACAGAATCACAGAGTCACAGAATCGTTAAGGTTGGAAAAGACCTTTAAGATCATCAAGTCCAACCATCAACCCAACACCACCATGCCTGGTTTTTCTGTGCCTGGTTGCTTCCTTCAGATGCTGCTTTTCTTTTACTTGGGTACCCACACATTTTTTCATGTGGTAACAATGTCCTTTGATCAGTATGTTGCCATTTGCCGCCCTTTTCATTACACAACAATTGTGAACAGGAGATTTTTCCTCCAGCTGATCCTGTTTTTAGGAGTTTTCTCTTGATGTTTCCTCCCACCATTATGATTGTCCAGTTGCCATTCTGTGGTCCCAATGCTGTGAAGCACTTTTACTGTGATACTTCCTTTTTGTTGCAGCTGCCTTGCACAGATACAGGGTTCATCAAAGGACTGCTGCTTATTGTGGTAATTATCATTGTACTTGGTACCTTAACAGTAACTGCTGTTTCTTATGCCTACATTATTATCACCATCTTGCATATACCATCTTCCACAGGTAGGAATAAGGCATTTTCCACTTGCTCAGCTCACCTCATGGTGGTGATATTTTACAGCACATGTATTTACAGGTACATCTGCCCAGCACTGCAAGGTGGGCAAGACTCTGACAAAGTTCTTTCTTTCTTCTCCGTGGTGGCTCAGATGCTTAATCCATATATCTGCTTACTTGGGAACAATCAAGTCAAACAAGCCTTAAAGGAGAGATGTGAAGTAATTTTCTAGCTTCCTGAGGCAGTTGTGAGTGCTGGAGTAGCCCATCCAAGTGACGGAATTGTTGCCCAGATGCAGCATCAGCACTGTGTGACTGTGAATTAAAGATGCTGATTTCAAAGGGTTTATGCTTTCTACCTTATGTAGTTCCTTCTTCTGTTAGCAACCAATATATGCCAACACAGAAACAAAAAATCTTGTGAGTTGACATAAAGACAGAGCTTTACAAATTTACAAATTTTATGTTTACAAATATTTTACAATGTTTACAAATTGCTGTTGGGGGCAAAACAGATTGGATTTGGGGAAAATTAATTTATTGCCAATTAAAATATTCTTAGGTTGTGAGAAACAAAGACAAATACTAAAACAACACCTTTACTTCCCCCTTTACCATACTTAATTTAATTAATTCATTCCAGACTTCTCTACCACTGCCCCAAGCAGCTCGGGGTGGATGGGGAGGGCTATGGTCAATACACAGTGGTTTCCTTGTGCTGCTGGTTTCCTCTCATACTTTTCCTTTGCTCCAGTGTGGGTTCTCCACGGGCTGCAGTGGGTATCTGCTCCACTATGGAGTATTTCCTCCTCCTCTCTGACCTTGCTGTGCCCTCTGTCATTTCTCACTATGTTCCCTCCTCCTCCCTCTAGCTGTCAATTTCTGCCCTTTCTTAAAGATGTTTTCCCAGAGGTGCCACCAGCTTTGCTGATGAGATCAAGCTTTGGCCTGTAGTGGGTCCATTTTGGAGCAGTCTGGAAGTGTTTGTGCCTGGCACAGAGCAGCCCCTTGTCTCTTCTCACAGAGGCCACTCCTGCAGGCCCTTTCTTACCATGCACACCTGTGGTGGCTTAACCTTGGCTGGCTGCCAGATGCCCACCAAGCAGCTCTTTCACTGCTCCTCCTCAACAGGACAGGAGGAGAAAATGAGATGAAAAAGCTTGTGGATTGAGGTAAAGACAGGAACATCACTTACCAATTACCATCACAGGTAATGGCTGAACAGGGAACTGCTCCTGGAGCTCCAGAGGGAAAAGAAATTGTATGATCTCTGGAAGTCAAGTCAGGCTTTGCAGGAAGATTACAGAGCTATGGTTCATATATGCATGGAGAAGACACAAAAGGCCAAAGTTCAATTAGAGTTGAACCTGGCCAGTGTTGTTGTCTTGTTGACAACAAGAAGGGCTTTTTTAAGTATGTCAATAGCAAAAGGAGGTCTAAAGAAAACATTGGACCAATACTTGTTGAAGATGGTCATCTGACCATCGTCTGGTCATTCTTTCCACACCTCTCAAGTGAATGGACTGCAAGATGGGGACTAGAAGAGCGAAGTCCCTCCCACTGTAAGGGAAGATTGGGTTCAAGACCACCTGAGGAACCTGAAATTCCATACACAAGTCTATGGGACCTGTTGAGATTCATCCCAGAGTCCTGAGGGAATTGGCTGTTGTAGTTGCCAAGAAACTCTTCATGATATTGCAAAAAGTCGTGGCAGTCAGGTAAAGTCCCTGGAGACTGGAGAAAAAGGGAAACATTGTTCCCATTTTTAAAAAGGGCAGAAAGGAGGACCCTGAGAACTACCAACATGTCAGCCTCACTTCTGTGCCTGGGAAGATCATGGAACAGATCCTCCTAGAACCTGTGCTAAAGCACATAGACGACAGGGAGGTGATTCGAGACAGCCAGCATGGCTTTACCAAGGGCAAGTATTACCTGACCAACCTAGTGGCCTTCTATGATGGAGTGACTGCATCAGTGGATAAGGGAAGAGCTACCGACGTTGTCTATCTGGAATTCTGTAAGGCGTTTGTCATGGTCCCCACCACATCCTTCTCTCTAAATTGGAGAGAGGTGGATTTCATGGGTTTACTATCGAGTGGATGAGGAATTGTTTGGAGGGTCGCACTGAGAAGACAGTGGTCAATGGCTCAATGTCCAGATGGAGTTTGGTGATGAGTGGTGTTCCTCAGGGATCAGTACTGGGACCAGTACTCTTTAATAACTTCATCAGTGACATAGCCAGTGGGATTGAATGCACCCTCAGAAAGTTTGCAGATGACACTAAGCTGAGTGGTGCAGTTGACATGCCTGAGGGATGGGATGCCATGCAAAGGGACCCGGACAAGCTTGAGAAGTGGGATTGCATGAAGCTCATGAGGTTCAACAATACCAAGTGCAGGGTCCTGCACCTGGGTCCAGGCAACCCCCGCTATCAATACAGGCTGGGGATGAAGGGATTGAGAGCGGCCCTGCTGAGAAGGACTTGGAGCTGTTGGTGGATGAAAAGCTGGACATGAGCTGTCAATGGGCGCTCACAGCCCAGAAGGCCAACCGTATCCTGGGCTGCATCAAAAGAAGTGTGGCCTGCAGGTCGAGAGAGGGGATTCTGCCCCTCTACTCTGCTCTGGTGAGACCCCTCCTGCAGTGCTGTGTCCAGCTCTGGAGCCCTCAGCACAGAAAAGACATGGACCATTTGAACCAGGTCCAGAGGAGGGCCACAGAAACGATCAGCGTGATGGAACACCTGTGCTGTGAGGACAGGCTGAGAGAGTTAGGGTTGTTCATCCTGGAGATGAGAAGGCTCCAGGGAGACCTTATTGCAGCCTTCCAGTACTTAAAGGGAACTTATAAGAAAGATGGGGACAAACTTTTTAGCAGGGACTGTTGTGATTTGTAATGTTTTTAAACTAGAAGAGGGTAGATTTGGACTAGATGTAAGGAAGACGGTTTTTACAATGAGGGTGGTGAAATACTGGCACAGGTTGCCCAGAGAGGTGGTAGATGCCCCATTTCTGGAGGGCAGCAGGACAGCTATGACTGTCACCATCACAGAAACATGGTGGGATGACTCACATGACTGGAGTGCTGCAATGGATTATAAGCTCTTCAGAAGGGATAGGCATGGAAGGAGAGGTGGTGGGGCGGCTCTTGTATGTTAGGGAGTGTTTTGATTGTACAGAACTCAATGATTGTGATGACCAAGTTGAGTGTGTATAGATAAGTCTGAGGGGAAAAGCAAATAAGGTAGATATCCTGCTGAGTGTCTGTTATAGACCAGGACGAAGAGGCAGATGAAGCATTCTACAAGCGACTGGCAGAAGTCTCGCAATCACTAGCCCTGTCCTTGTAGGGGACTTCAACTTACATCTGCTGGAAGTATAACACGGCAGAGAGGAAACAGTCTAGGAGGTTCCTGGAGCGTGTGGAGGATAACCTCCTGACACAGCTGGTAAGTGAGCCTACCAGGGGAGGTGCTGTGCTTGACCTGCTGTTTAGGAACAGTGAAGGACTGGTGGGAGATGTGATGGTTGGAAGCCATCTTGGGCTTAGTGACCATGACATGATAGAATTCTCAATTCTGAGTAAAGAGCGGGGTCAGCAAAACCACTACCATGGACTTCTGGGGGGAAGACTTTGACCTCTTCAGGACACTGGTTGAGAGAGTCCCTTGGGAGACAGTCCTGAAGGACAAAGGAGTCCAGGAAGGCTGGACAGTCTTCAAGAAGGAAATCTTAAAGGCGCAGGAGCAGGCGGTCCCCATGTGCCGTAAGAAGAGCTGGCGGGGAAGATGGCTGGTCTGGCTGAACAGGGAGCTTTTGTTGGGACTCAGGAAAAAAAAGAGGGTTTATCACCTTTGGAAGAAGGGGTAGGAAACTCAAGAAGAGTACAAGGATCTCGTTAGGTCAAGCAGGGACAAAATTAGAAAGGCAAAAGCCCAGCTGGAACTCGATCTGGCCACAGTCATAAGGGACAATAAAAAATGTTTTTACAAATATATTACCAACAAAAAGAGAGCCAAGGAGAATCTCCATCCTTTATTGGCTGGTG